TGTTACTAGTAGCGCGCAAAACCGCGCAGTGCGAACTTCGAGGGCACAAGCAGAACTTCGTCTTGTGAAGCTGTGAGTGGAGGCAGGTGTGGCGCGTCTTGTCCTGTCGACCCATCCTGAACCGACCCATGCACCATTCCCGATTATAAGGGTTCGACAGTCAATGGGTGTGTAGATAGTCAATGGGTGTTAGAATGGATCGGTAAAGAGATCTTGGTGCAAACCCATCTAGAATGGTCAAGGAATTCAGATCAGGAAAAGCGGATCGAATGTAGATGGGAAAAGAGATGTCCTCCCGACCCTGCGTCGCGGATCGTGTGTGGCAGTCCGGTCATCCTCTCCAGCTGATCCAATGAGAGACCTTTTCCGATGGTCTGATGCGGTGCTGCTCAGAACACGGGCATGGTCTGATCACTACAGTGTCATCGGGAACAACCTGAAGTTTATTTCGCCGTTCCTGCGGCTGGTTCCATCATGTCACAACCGTGCAAAACGCACCGCTCGGCATCAGCATCCTCTCCTTGGCATCTGCAGGCTTTCCTGTTGCTGCCGAAGCCTGTGGGCTGCGCAAGTAGGTTCTGCTTTATGTCTTGTGTGGACCAAGAACCGCAGTACAACTCAACCTACCCTGACATGTTCTGATCAGGCCCTACTTGTGACGGGAACTTTACCACTTCAAAGTTGGCAAAAGGCTCAGAACGCTCAAAACGGGGCAACATCTTCATGCTGCCTTCTTCAGTCGCCACGTGTCCCAAATGGCATAACCCTCTTCTTCCAGACAAAAACGACGCCTTCGCGTGGTGTCATCGCGAGCGCCATCGCGGCGTCGGTGGTTTCCCATCGCCTGTGGCGCCTTGCTGCTCTTCTTAGATCCACCCATATCTTCGTCAGCAGAATATCGCTCACCTCCCCATCAGCGCCCCCATCCAAAGGAGCGCAGCAGTGGGAAAAGGGATGAAAAGGGACGAAAAGGGCTGTCATGGTTGAACATGGCTGTCTTTAAACCATGGCTGTCATGGTTGAACTGACCAAGGTGAGGCATGACAGTGGCTGGGATTGGCCGAACATCCCTGATGCCCTCGACCCGTCTGCGCGCGACCAACCCACCGTCACCCATGCACCCCCAGGCCGCGCCTACTGTTTCCAGTGCGGAAATGGAACCGAACGCCCCAGAAGTTGTAGCTCAGATGAGCTGCGAAGCAAGAAGGAATCCTCCCTATCTGTGTATGGGAGAGTCCCGCTTGACCACAAGGGATCAAACACTGCGAACAGGATGGGTGTTCCATACAGTGGCATGCCATACATCATAATGTTGCTGAAAGAAAAATGAGGGGTGGAGGGTGGTCTCTTTCGGGAGGATCTACCTTGCATCTTGTTTGTCCCATCTTGACTTGTCATCTTGGGACACGAAGGCTGTGATATTGAGGGTAGACACCCGATCCACCCAGAATGGATGCTGACATCGAACGAAAATGGAGGCAACTATAAGCCCAATCTTCTTAATTGGAGGTGTTGCACATCCAGTGCATTTGTCTGTGATGCATCGTGACACATCAATACCAGGTGATCAAGAAACTCATGTGAACACTATATATAGATTACTATAGGCAGGTAGCCTTTAACTATCCTTAATTATGTTGGATTCAAAACAGCCTCACTTTGGTGAGAAGTGAGGCAGCGGCGACATGAACTCTTCCTTCAATGTATGGATGAACCGTTCATCCCCAGCTCAATACATGGGCTTGACCTGGAGGTTCCAGGAACGCCAACTTCTGCAAGCCGTGTGAGCCACACCGAAAGCACACCCCGATGCTTTGTCCAAAAATATAGAAATCAAATCATTAGTGCGAGCGCTATACTGCGTCCAGCTACAAAAACTTGCGCTTTATAGGAGCTTACTCCCTTGCTTGTGGTCCTCCATCTCCAGCTGTTTGGCCTTCTTTTTGGCCTTCTTCTCCTCGTTTTTTGGACGAAGGGCAATGGACTGGACCTTGTCATTGGACCTCCATCCTGGCCCCTCAAGAAGGACGTGAAGACATCCCTCCAATCTGCTGAAAGTCACTGGAAAGCTAGCGCCAGGTGAGGCGGCTGGGCACCCCGCAGCGATCATTAGGACCATCCCCAAAGCCAACTGGAGATGATGCGTTTTCCATCCCCAAACCAATGTGTTTGTAAAACCTATCAACAAGTACTAATCCCCAAAACCAATTCAGATTGGTTTCAAGCCCCAACTACCTCAAACTCCAAGGCGTGGGTGCTGCTCGAACAGCACATGGTCTCGAAAAAGATTCGTAGGGAAGGTGTTCCATCTTCTCTACAAGTGCGGACAATTCTTGCTGAAAGTGCGGTTAGTTCTAACATGTTCTAACCCTGTGGCGGACATTGCCTCTTTCAAGTCTGAGACCCTGGTCTACCCGCCTTCACCCAGCCAGCGGTTCTGGCTCAGGCACCAAGTTCTGTCATACGGTCTTCAGGTATCAAGTTCTACTAGGTTCTATGCCAAGTGCTTCAGGTACTGAGTTCTGGTTCAGGTGCTTGTAACTTCACCAGGGATTCTCCAGCCAAGTCTGTCAGGTGTGACGCGCAATAGCGAAGCCTTCTTGTCTTTGGCCTTCTTCTCCTTCGGCTTAACGTCCCTCAGCGAAATGTTGTTCCAATGGAGTTCGGTGAACTCTCGTGGTTCGCCAAATCTGATAAGTAAGTTGGGTATATCCCATTACCAGTAACAGTGGATGATGATGGTTAGCAAAGGCCTTTCTCAAAAACAGTGATGATCTTTTACCGACTGTTACTGGTAATGGGCTACACCCTATATATAAGTATATAGACGCCCCAAATTCCCCCTAAAGATGTATTGGAGATCGTTTCTATCTATTTGGGGACCACGAATAATAGTTTCTCATTTCGATCGTTCCCGTCCCAGTTGCTTTCGATCGTTCCCGTTCCCATGCCCAACTTTCAAAGCTGCACAGGTGTGCAAAGACGTCGTCCTGCCCAACCTGTATGTTCCATCCCCAATCATGGGGTGCCACACTGAACACTCGGAACAGCCTCCGCTGGTCGGCCTACGGTGGATCGGGAAGAAGCAAAAGAAAGGGGGGATGGACACTGTTTGGACACTCTTTGGGTGGTCATGGATGGTCCATATAACCAGTATGGTCACGGAAAAACACAACTTCCCATGTCCTTTGATAACCAACTCGCCAAGCAATTTGACATCAGCCGAAAGAAAAAAAGATGCAAATCATCCGGAGAAGTATCTGCTGGCCGCTGCGCATCCCCGAGTTCTAGGGGCTCGCGTGAGAAGTACCAATTACTCTTGGACCTCGTAAGCAACGCAGGGGGAATGGTCTGTTGATTCTTCCTTGGTATTCAACTGGATCACCAGACAGCTGACTGGGCTGCGTCTCCCGATGTGGCGTGAAGTTCATCAGCTGGCTGGTATGCAAGCATCCATCGTAGTTGCTCCGCATGCTCGTATACATAGAACCCATCGTGATGAAGAACCAAGTTACCGAATACAAGCCAAGCGAAGTGGAAGAAACACCCGTTTCTGCGGTTGATCCAACGAAACCAGACGTGACCAGTCTCGTGGCACTGCGCCTGCATCCAAAGAGACCTGAGAAGACGACGAAACGGATCGTTCACGGATGTCACCGGAGCGGACCCAACTACTTGAAACCATGGGGCTGGATAGTGGAATTGGGATGAAGCTGGTCCAGATGCTCTGAAAGCAACAAATGGTTTTAGGGAGACAAGGATTGATAAGGGACACAGGAATGAATCATGCGGTATCCCTCTTTTTCAAAGGTGCAGGTATGGCCAGAAACTAAGGGACTCCGTGAAGAAACTCACGACACATGTCATCCTCCTCAAGTTTCATTCTGAAGCCCACACCCCCATCTTCACGTATCATGATATATCGTACATTCCAACATCAAATCACCCAGTCCAACCGGGGGGCCAACTCCTCGCAGAATCGGGTAACTCGAACCTCCCCCGTCATCCGACGAAGAAGCGCGCGAGAATCCGCCCGAACCGCGCGTGCGCGCGGTGACGCTTCTTGGGTCCCAAAGCCTCGGCTCGGGCCTTGGCTTTGGCTCGAGCACCCTTGCTCCTGGCCACTGCGGCCTTGGTACGGGTCCGAGCTGGAGATTTCTCAGATGGCCCGGGTCTGAGCTAAATAAACGCCAGTCCAATGATCAGAACGGGAAGCATATGAACGAAACTTTTGGCGGAGAAGGTGAAGGTTGGATCGAGCTTAGTAAGGTCGTCTCATGCTTCGGGCCAAAACACTCCCCCCCTTCCATAAGAAATGAATCGTGGGTCACTGACCCTCTGCGTCCGAAGAAAGAAAAAACAAAGATGAGCAGAAGAGAGGTGACCCATATGAAGTTGATCATAGGACTCCCTCTTTGGTAGATTAGCTCTAGACCTGCTTCAAAGACCCAGCACCTCAAACGCATCCAGGAGAAATCTGGCCCTGCGTTCGAAACCTGTACGTGATCAACCCTGCCAATCCTCGAAGTCTGTCAACCTGGAACTCACAGCACCTTTGGACAAACCTTGGATCCTAAATGGGCCTCAGCCAGATGGGCTTTCTTCTGCACACCTTCGGCACGTTCTCACCACCCACGTCCCGTGCGAAGGACGCCCAGTCCCCCACGTCGAAGGCGGCCAAGGACGCCGTGGCCTGGGACGTCCCATATCGGAGTCGTCACGAGTCACGGGTGGGGTGTGCCTTCCATAAGGTTACATAAGGCCTGGAAGTCCAAGACCTTATGAAAGGTTACATAAGGCCTGGTTGCATAAGTCATAAGTCCAGGAGTCCAGGTTACATATTAAAAAATAACTGGTGGACCTGGACCTGGTATTGGTAGTTTGAAATCCTTGGTACAACAATGGTGGTTCGGTGAAAACCATTAAACTAATAGAAGGTTAACAATGGTGATTGGAAGCCTGGGGTGGGGTAATTAAGCACTATATGTGTTTGTAAAAGCACCATGTTTGGGGTTCCTCAAAAAGACGGGGTTCCGAAAGAGACTGAAACCACCCGGAACCCTTTTGGCCATCCGCCAGATCAATTCAGTTAGATCGATTCAGTATCAACTGTGCCGCAAGGCTAGATCAATGAGAAGAGGATACGCACAAGCAAGAAGACGAACAAAAAAACTACATAGAAAAATGAGATCGGGATGACTTTGAGACAACCCATTACAAAACTGTGTTTCAAGTTACCAAAGCTGTGCTCTTGCCCTTGAATACACAGACACCCATGTGGCATAGCCTTCAGGACTACTTCCACGATGAGATTCATCCATGTCCTTCTGCTTTTTGGGGACAGTGGAGTCTTCCCCCCTCCACAGCACCGCGTTGCGGAGGATGGTCAGCAGCCCAACTTACAGATCCAATACATGCGGAAAATGAAAAACCATCAAAACTCAACACGACAGCGGAACAAACAAAAAAGCATGCATCCAAACATGGCGCAGAAAATGAAACTTTCCTTTGGCCCCTCTGAGAAACCATGTTCCGAATACCAATCAGGTGGTGAACTCCACTTCCATGATTATGTTCAAGGAGCGAAGGAGTGTAGTTTTTGGTACATGAACCAAACCTCTTTCCACATAGGACGTGTCGTTTCACAGATCAACATCCCTCCTCCACAGATCGCATCACATCCTCCGTGTGAAGACTGCACAGCCTGGAGTTCTTGCAGCCCCTCCAGTTGCTGCAAGGCCTCCATCCGTTTCAGTTCGTGCGGTGGCCCAATGAAGAACATGGTGCGATCGCAGGAAGATGTACCGTGTCACGGTGTCATGGCCAAACGGTGTCAGAGTTCCCCAGGACGTGTGTTCCTGTCGTCGAGCGTATCTTGAACAAGAAAAGAACACAAGAAAAACATTCACATAAGTATATAATATCTTACAATATATACAGTTATCAGGTCAATGGCAGGAAAGCTCATACAAGATAGAGGAAGTGCTCGAGCGCATGTGTTGGCGATTCTATCGGAAAAATCTTCCAGAATCACAGTGAATCATACCCAAGTCTTTGTACCCGGACCATCCAAAGGGTGTCCAATGAAGCTCCCCAAGTAGTGCAGGGTAGTCCATTGGACACCTATTGGATGGTCCTGGCAGGGATACTGCAGACTCCAGCTGAAGGATTGGATGTTCGAAGAAGCTTTCCAG